ATATATTAGAAATGAGTACAGATTTTAAGTATTTTAAGTATATCCTATAATTCATTTTAATTTTTGAACCATGCTGTCTTAAGAGCCAGAGGTTAATCCAAAAGAGCAATTATCTGGTCTCCCTCTTACATAAAACCATATGTGCTAACAAGTGTACTTATTTCTAGTTGATTTTTTTACCTTTAGTTTCCCAATATTGAGTAATTACATGGTGAGTTCTGGTGTCTGAGGGAAAGAAAATGATTAGAGTTTTTAAAAATAGGGATTAAAGAATTATGGTGATTCAAGGATTTTCAGATAACATTTGGAAATTAGGTAGAACATTTATTTTAGATAAATGGAAAATGGAAACTCTCAGAAGGTTCATGGTGTAAGTGGTGAGGTTCAAGTGATATCTGGAAAGCTGGTGAGGCACAGTTACACTGCAGTGGAGGCTTCTTTCCCCTGAAGTATTTTCTCATCACAATCAAATGGGCTCAAGTGCCCTGTGCTCATAATCTTCGTCTCATTATATCCTGTTTGGTGATTTTTTTTCTGGATAGTTTCTTTTGAAGTAAAAAGCTGTATTTTATATTTTGCGTTTTGCTATATAGTCTAGTCATGAGGAGAAACCCTCTGTCCCATTCTTGGGCTTCTTCTTTCTTGCGGTGATTAAAACACATGCTTGGTTAATGTTGCTTATTTATTTCTAGTCTTGTATATCTTACCTAAGTATAATCATGTAAGAGTCATAAATTTTAACTTTTGAGCCTTTTAAGTTTTTTCACATGTGTTCTGTTACACATGCTAAAAAAATTCCTTGTAATGAGTAAAGACATCATGGAAGAGAGAAACTGAATTAGAATTTATTCTTTTGGTTATTAAAATTATTTATGTTCCTAAGTAGATGCAAAGGAAGACACTCTCATGTGGTGACTGTATTTTCAGGTCTTACTTTGGAGTTTTGTCTGCACATAATTACTTTGAGCTCTTATTTTTGAAGGAGATATTTTTTCCACAAGAAAATTTGTCCTAAACTCTCCCTTATTGACTTCAGAGTGATTTAGTACCACTGATTTACCGTAGATTTTAAGGGAAAACCTTGAAATATAAAGATAAGTACATGAAATTCTCTTGATTATATCTGATCAAATTAGAACTGCACAACTTGAAATCTTAAACTGATCTGGGTTTTGCATCTTCCACGTACCACTGGACACCAGAAAGGAAATTTCAGGTTAATAGGGTTAGAATGCGGATTTAGCTTTCTTTTGTAAATGGGTGAATGCTTTTGTCCCTAATTTGTGTATTTAATGGCTGTCCTGTTCTTTTTTTTTTTTTTCAAGTATTGTATTGTGGTGCTTAACTTTCCTTCTTATTAAATCCCATTTCCAGAAACTTGTCATGCAAGTTTAGAAAGCACTTTTGATGATTGGTGTGCTTTTTCTTCCTCTTAAAACAGCCTAGACCTACTATTAGCAGAATTTCTATTAATAGAATTAGGACAGTTTATTGAAAGTCTTGTTATTTGAGTTATCAAAATGTGAATAATGTTCACAATGAAAGACATTCTAATTTTCAGTCACAAAACTGAATAATTAATAAAAAATTTGAATCTGTAAGATACTTAATTTTCCCAAACAAAAAGCAAAGTCCCTCTGTCCTTAGCCAAAGGCACACGGTTCTTTCAAGCTCTTGTCCTGTAACATGGTGCTTTGCACACTGTGATTTCTGAGGATGGTTTCTTTTAAGGTAATGACTCCATGTGATCTTCGTTCCTGTTGCTCACCACAGAGACTCTGATGTCAGATGGAAACTGGACCTCCTTGTTTCTCAGCAGCTGTTCTATCAGGAGCACTAAGCTACGGTGAAACGCATCATGAGCTGCTTTAGGACTGTCTGTTCAAAATTCCTGTTGTTCATGTATTATGATTTATTGACTTGTTGATGCATGTAAACTGGGTGCATTTTATTGCCAACAGTATGTTAAATAGTGACCAATGTTTTTACAAAGGAATTGAACAAAAAATATCTTTTGAGAACTTTGGAATGGAATGTGGTTTTGATTTTAAAGTTTGATTTTCTTACTAATCTCAGGGGGGCAGAGTAATCTGTCACTGAAGGAAACAGGATTAATGAATGTAGATTTGCCATGAGGTGGTACTGATGTCACTGAGACAGCATTTGGAACTTTCCCTGCCCCCTCCCTTGACACTTGACATTGAACCTTATGGAATGTGAGAGAAGAGTGATCCCATAAGGAGCTGTGAGTGGTGGATGGGTGGTAGAGTCAGGTATTTACAGCAGTGCTGGCCATGTAGTTTATGTATCCGTGGACTGGAATTAGATGTCCTCATGTATACAGTGAATGCCTTTAGTTACTGTGCAGTAGGGACATCATTTGCATACACTTTGCAATGCCTTTTCTTTTTATCTCCAGTTCAAAGAATCATCCGTAACCTAGAAGAAATCTCAAGGAGGTTCATTTAGTAAATTCTTTGACTTTGATTATATACAATGAGCTAGGGTGATCCGGGTAACTGAAGGAGGTTGGGGCATGAACAGTGTGGATGTCTGTGAGACAGGTAGGCTAAACTACAGGAAACTGCTTTCAAGTTCATCTCAGACATACAAAATGGTATTTTGCTTTGGAGTACACTGTCAACTCTCTGTTTCATATCATTAATGTTTTGATTAACCCTGCAGATTAATACTTAAGATGAATACCCAGATTATTTACTGATAGCCCAGAAGAAAATCACCCAGAAGCATGGAGAAGTGATCTTGGAATTCAAAAGGTGTTAGGAGAATCTACCCATAAATAGTTTGTTAGGAGTTTACAGTGAAACCTTGCTAACAAGTCACTTGTTTTCACCAAAGCAACAGATGCTGCTAGTGTATGTGATGAGAACTAATGTTAGAATTAGTTTATGTTTCTCCCTTTGACTTTAGAAATGGGGCAGTAATCAAAGGAGGAATATAACTTCAGCTCAAGGTGTTAGGTTTTTGAGGATCTCCTGATCTTATCATCTAATATGCTAACATGTGAGCTATACATTGGTACAGTGTTTAGTATTAGGTGCTACACAAAAGTGGGGTTTAAGAGGTAGTTACATTAAAAAACGAAATTGAAGTACCTGAGTTAGAAATGTTTTCTTCTTGCCCAGTCCCATTTCTTTTGTCTGGTGTGCCTTCCTGTCTAGTGTGCCTTCCTGTCTGTCTGTCTGGTGTGCCTTCCTGTCTAGTGTGCCTTCCTGTCTGTCTGTTTGGTGTGCCTTCCTGTCTGTCTGTCTGGTGTGCCTTCCTGTCTAGTGTGCCTTCCTGTCTGTCTGTCTGGTGTGCCTTCCTGTCTAGTGTGCCTTCCTGTCTGTCTGGTGTGCCTTCCTTCCTCCTCTTCCTTGTTTTCCTTTCCTCAGTCTCGAGCTGATGGAAATAGTTTTGAGGATACAGTAATGTTCCTGGGAGAAAGCATTTTCTTCCCCACCCCTACTTGGGAGGAGAACAAATACAAGTTAATGTAGTTTATTTCACTAACATTGTTGACCTTTCTTCCACATTGACTCTGATAAAGGCCCCACATTTCATAAGGAAAGGATTAACTGTGTTTTAAATCTCAGACTCCCAAAAGATGAGATGTCATCGCTTTGCTCACTGTCTCCAGTGCTCTGCACAGAGCCTGGCACATAGTAGATGCTCAGTGGTTATTTGTTTGATGAGGGAACACAGTCGCCATCACTGATTTTCTGTTTGGTACTGGAGTGCTGTCTTGCTCTTCAGCCCCTCTATCAGTTCTAACAGATTATTCCCATGTCATTCTGCCACTCTGACCTTGCTTTTTACTTCCAGTGGGTTGGTTATTCTGCAGGCAGTTCTCTGGGCCTTTTTTTTTTTTTTATTACAGGTATCCAACTGCTGAGTGAGAAATGCAGTGTGCACATGCGTTCTTTCTTTAAAAATCTATTTCAAAGAAATGGGTAATTCCTTGGTTCACTCTTGGTGAACATGTGTTAGAACTAATGGTTACCAGTTGACTTGCCTTTAGCCTGTTCTAGTTTTTTTCTGCTGAGGGTTCATACCAGGTATATTGGTCTACTGTTTTGAAACTCACTCTGCCCCCCCCTTTTCACTCCACTTCTGGACTTAATGGAATGCATGTTCTCATACGAGAAGAGCTTTGTGATTGTATCTTAAATTCAGTGCTATAAACCAATGATTTTTAAGCCTTTTGGCTTCAAAACCCTTTTAAATATTTAGGTTCCCCAAACAGCTCTTGTGTATGAAGTTTATATAGATATTTTATGTTAGATGAAAACAAACAAGATATAAGAAATAATTTGCTAGTGTAATACAACCACAAGCCAATTTCTTGTTTACATAAATGATAGATATTTTGTAGAAATTCTTTTTACAAAAGCTAGTAAGGAAAGTAGCACTGTTTTACATTGTTGGCAAATATCTTTAATGTCTGGCTTGCTAGGAGATAGCTGGATGTCTCCACATTTGATCTGTTGGATATGTTGTTTGCTTTGGAGAAAATAAAACCTCACACAGATACCTGGTTGCAAAAGGAAGGCATATTTTAGTCACTGTATGACTGCGTTTCTGAACCCAAACTGAGCAAGGCAGTTTCTGAAAGGCTAGTCAGTGTGGACTGACGCTGCACAGGGAGATTTTTTTTCCTTGAGTGACGTTAGCATCCATTGTTTTGTTTTACACCTTGACTTTTTTTTTTTTCTTGCTTGATTTTGTGATGTGTGCATTCAACATCTGGAAATCATTGCTCCACTAAGTTATATAGACCACCATATCCAAATTTTAAAGTTATATTTGATAGACCAGCAATCTCATTCATGAAGGCCTTTAAAATAAGTTGTCAAGTTCAAATGATGGATACACGCTCCCAAAAGTCTGATCTTTATTGAAAGCTTAAATCAGCATTGGCAGTACACGCCATGAGCTTTCCTAAAGTGCCACTTCACTTTGTTCTTGTTTAGGATGTCAGTCAGATATCCCTGAGTAGTCTCACATGTGCTCACGACAACCATCATCTTGCCGTCCCCATTATAGCATTTCCCATTTCTTCATTAGAATACTCAAGAATCAAGATTTGAAGTAAATAACTTCTGCCTTGTGGAACATCGAGTGAATTGTAAGCGCCTGAAATGAACACACAACTTAGGGCCTGCTTGTTTCTAGGGTGCTTTGATCCACATTGCCTTTTCTTTCCCCCTCCCTCCCTATGCCATTCTCTTCTTTCTTCTCTCCTCCCTCCTCTTCCTTCACTTCGTTTCTTTTCCATCTAGTTGCCCAGGTTGAGCTCAAATTCCTGGGCTTACGGGATCTTGCTTCACCCTTCCATAGCTGGGCTGTAGGTGCATGCCCCTGAACTGGAATTCTACCATTGCTTTGCTCCCTTGGTAAACATGTCACTAGTGAAAAAGGTAGCAGTGCCTTAGTGTATTATGAAAAATGTTTTTACCTACCAGAGTTCTACCAAATCCTTGAAAATTTGCAGACAGTGCCTCCACTTTGAGAACTATCTTAAACTATCCTAATTACACTAGCTCTAGCTGCAAGCAACAAAATCCCACAATGATAGCTGAAAGATTGTTTCATGTATAACATTACTGTAACATGTTCAGAGCTGATGTAGAGGTTACCCTTGAGGAAGTGGTTAGACACTTAGATGTTCCTGTTCTGCCTTATGTACAGCTTTCACCCTTAAAGCCATCTCATCATCTAAACAGCTACTTCAGCCCCACATTCTGCCCCAGAGTCAGGAATTACAAAGAAAGGCAAAGGGCTCAAATGGACATTTTAGTTGGCACATGACACATTGCCATCACCTGAACCCATACCTGGAAGAGAAGCTTGGATATGTGTCATTTCTGTATGGCTAAGTGTATAGAAATTAGGAGAGAAGGGCCTCTTGGGAGACAATTAGCCATCTGTTGCAGACTACCACTGTAGCTACCAAGTATTCATGCCTTTCCTGTCCTCTCAGTATGAAAGACCCATCCATAAGAGCAGGCCCAGGTTTCTGAGTACTGGCTGCATTACTCTTGAAATGCACCATCCTGCTGTGGCTCCTTGGTATCAGCCTGTAAGTGAAAAGCAGCTGCCCCAACATACCCAGCATGTGAGTTTCCATCCAGGCAGAGAGGGAGTGGGCAATAACGTTCACTAGTTCATGGCAATGATCACCGCCCAGTAAAAATCCACCACCCCTGTCCCCAGCAGAAAAGCTTGCTAAACTATGGAGCTCATCTATTTGAAGAAATTTTGGCCTAGGGAAGACTGCATAGTGAATGTTTCAGAGGTCAGCTGGCTTCTGCGGCTGTCTTTAGCTTGGAGGCTGTCAATGCTAATTGCACGCAGGAGGCTGGTGATTGTGGTTCTGTATTTTTTTTTTTTTAACATTTACAAAAACTTTATTGAGAATTTCATACATGTATATAAGGTGTTTTGAACAAATTGATGCCCACTCCTTCCCCTCCAACATTGCCCCCTCTGAAGAGGTAACCCTAAAATCTTTCAAGGATTAGATACAAGCTCCAAAATACTTTTGACATTTTTGGCCTTTGGAACAGTATGTTGCTAACAGGCCCAAGGACATTTAGACTTTTAGCCAAGAAACAGGCTACATTTCTTTGGGGTCTTTTACCCTAACCTCCTAGCCAATTCCTACCTCCTGTTCTTATCACGACATCCTCTGAAGGGATTATCCAAATTGCCAATAGGGAATTGGGATGCAGACCACTCTGGCTTCTTCCATGCTGAGCAGGGACGCAGGGTAAGGCAACTGGAGTACCCCTTCAGTGGGTCTATCTAAAAGACTCCCAAATTGCATAACTCTTAATCTCTAATGGGAAAAGAAAGTCTTTGAATCATGAATAGGAGATGTGAAGGAGAAGTAAAGGCAAGAGAAATTAGCATTACAAGTTCTAGACAGGGAACTAGAAAAAAGAACAGGGCAATTTTCAAATGTTCATATGAAAGTTCATTGGAGTTTCTTGACAAGGGCTTCCAAAATCATCCCTCT